TTTGCGCAAGCTAAATCTCAGTCTGCTCACTTATGTGAAAGTGGCGGCGGTGCTAGACTACCTACACAAAAACTGCAAAATAACTTTCAGTGCAGTTCGGCTTGGGAAGATGGGGGGCATTTTCACTTTCGCTATTTCCCATCGTCCTGGTCAGTATTTTACAACAGTTGAAAAGCAATCTCTACAAATTCTGACTGGTATCACTTCATGGCTTCACAAGATTTCACAACTTTACTTGACGGTGTGACACGTCAATGGGAGGTAATACAAATGCAAAGTGCCCTCCCCCCAAGCCGAACTGTGCCCAACTTTCTCCTATCAAGACCTGATAACGAGCAGTTTCAGACCAATAGCTCAAACTCCACCTTCAAAAGAACACAGGTGCAAGAATGCGAAAGACCTCTCACAGAAAAGCGGAAATGTTAGATAGGCATAAGTTAAATTGCAAGGAATCATACCGGACGTACACTAAACTGGCCGTAAATGGAGAGCAACGCGAACGCGAGCACCACCATCAAAGGTCCCCAGAAATCCGGCGATTCCCGCACAATGTTCAGCTTCATCCGGAAATAGGGAAGAGGCAACAGTACACATCGGATTTTGTAGTAAATATCAGTCAGGTCTATATCCAGCTCCTCTCTGAAATAGCTCCATCGGCTCAAACTATCTCGGGAACTCTTTCAAACAATTCACAACCAACAGAGCACACAGCAGAGTTAACCGGTATAACTTACAGCAATGGTGTCTGCGTATCGCAATCGTCTTCCACTTCAAGGAGCCATCCGAAGCCACGACTTTCCAGCAGCTTCCCCGCAGCCCCCATTTGAGCTTTCGAATAAGTGTGGGTGGAAATGTTGCCAGTCGGGAGCGTCGACGATCCTCTGTCGTAGCCTGAACTGACAATTTCAAATGGCTACATGGTAAAGCAATCCTGCATTTTCAGCTGTGTTCGATGGCCGCTGCAGCTCCATGTTTAGCTGCTGTAGAGTGGGTTCAACAGCTTACAGAGGCCTCCTTTAGCGCATAAGGGATGAAAATCGAATGGAAGTGTCGAATGAACATCAACTTTCAAGCTGCGCTTATACTTTGCGACACAGAACAAAGCATAAGATAACGCGCCACCACAGAACTGGAGAATATGAGGGCCGATCACTCCCATCAAATCTATGACGCGTACCCTCCCAAAAGGGTCGATTCCAAGATTCTGCCCTATTTTCCCTCAAGAAGTGTTTGGGCCAAAAGGATTAACCCTACGCGGGATCGAGCTAGCGTTTCGTCGAGGCGATAAACGTGTTCGCTCGTATCTGGTTTGGCGAAACGCTCGTCGATTCGTATCAAAACCCTTTCGCCCAACCGCCAGTCGATACGTATCGAAAGCTTTCGCCGAAAACCGCCGCGTTCTAGAGAAGCGCTGGACCGCCAGACTTGTGAATAATATCGAACGGGTATCGATTGGCGCCGGCCTCCAGTGTTTTGAGAAAGTACAGGATAATAGAAGGATAGACGTTGCCTCCACACTGCCTGATATCCTCCTCTTCTAAAGCTAGAGGCCGGCGCCGAGCGACATCCGCAGTTGGTTGCGCTATAGCACTGGAGCGCCACTTTCATGGTAGGTCATCGTAGCGCGATGCTGCGCGTTGACGCGCGTCATGGTGAAGTATGAACTCATCCTAGAATAGGATATTTAGCCTTGGAAGGGGCGAAGAAGCCATTTGTCTCTCTGTCTGAAGAGAAGGGTCTGTCTGCGATTGTCTCTCCAATGAAGCACGGTAATGTTTCTCTGTTTACCTATAACTGAAGCGTACCTGAAGGGTACTGATGAGTGCCAGCGGTGGCCGTTTCGTAGCCACCTGAATCATAGAAACCGAAATTATCCATGGTGGGCATGGTGGGCACGGCACCCAAGTCAATGACGGTTTGCGGAGTTCGAGTGGCTCCTCCAGGAGAGAAGTCCATCTGGAACAGCTAATCGCATACTTTTGTTTGTCTTGTAGGTAGAGTGTAGGTAAAGTAAGAAACAAAGCAAAACCCTGGAGATGAGAACAGAAAAAAAACTAGGACATAACGACAAATGGAACTTTTTAGGGCGCGATTACCACGGGATTGAAAAGCGTATAGTCGTCCATCATATAAGCTTAAGGCCAATAATGTTAATCACATCTGAAACACCCTCAAAACGGTCCAGATGCTCCTCAAATGAATGGGAAAACCCCGCAGACGATCAAATCGCGTGGCGTGACGTGTAGCGTGGAAACCGCGCAGTCTTTGCGTATTTTCACACGTTGCCCGAAAACTGTGCCTCATTTTGCGGCGATTTCCAGTTGCCCTCCCCATTGCAGCGGTTGGTGTTTGTTTGTTTCCCATTGAGATACTTGGGTTTTTTAGATGTTTCATTGCTAATAATCTTGCCAAGTTGCTTTCCTTCTCTATCATTGCCGTTGAATGTCCGCTCGTTGTCTTTTCGCTTGCGTTTTTATGGGTTTTTGTGTGCGACTGTGCCTGATATATTTAGAGTACATCTCCTGCCGAATTTAAACGAGGACTTCAATTTTTTCGAATTTATCCGCAAGATATCAGTCTAAGGGCGAGTTTTTCTTGACGAAACCGCTTCCATGTTTGCTAGAAATTCTGGTTACACGAGCTATGGCCCTATTCCAACAACTATGGGCATTAGGGGGATCGTTGCTGTATTGCAGAGACCCCTTTCTGTACAAAGGAACCTGACTGTGAACAAAGTAACACTTGCCAGTCGGTCGACCGATTAAAGCTGTGGAGCCGCGCATCAGCCAGCTGTCGTTCTGGCGCCATGGCCAAAATGGCTCGAGTCACGCGAGTATAGCCCGCCTCTATAATCCCAAAAAGTGGCACCTTCACACAGTCCTATATCCGAATACGGAGACGGGCCGCGGTGCGAGTGCCTTTCATCAACATGCGCCCCGCCCCAGCCGACAGGCCTGTGCCATTTTTCGGAAAGTGTTTGTTTGTTTGTTCGTTAGAAATGAAGCATACAGCCGCATCCACTATTCCTCCGGGATATTGAGCGCACCTCGTATCATCTGAGGATCAAAGACGCCTGTGTAAGGATCAGACACCTACCGATTCATCTCCGGTTCTCCACTGTCGCAGATCAACGCAACCTGAGTTTCTCTTCTTTATGGCGCGCTGTAACGAGTCTGAAAGTGTGTGGTGTGACTTTTACGGCAGTTCCACTTGGAATTGCGTACTTTTGTCTGTTAAACCCCCGAGTATAATGCATTACCGACGGAATGACTTCATGCACTTTGGATAGCTTTGTCTGACTTACTTCCGAACTTTTGTTGGGCCTACACATATTGAGAGGTAGTTACAGTGAGGTTGCCGTTCTTTCGGTTTACGTTCTGCCGTTCCATTTTCATTAAAAAAAGTTTCCTTCTTCCATCTGTGGCAGTATAGCTCTCTTCAATACACGTGGGGTTACTTGTATTCGAAGCCTTCACGCGAGGCGACCCAGGCCACCCTTATGAGAAACGGCAACAAAGGAAGAACATGAGTAGCAGTCTTGCGAATTCCCCATTTCACAGAATGCGCGGATTGAGAGAACAGGCTCACTGCTGAGCGGACTCATTCAGTTTCCTTATAAACCGTTGCACATTCCAGCAATTCCGTAATTTTTCGATTTCGTGGGACCTGTCCACCCTGTTGGCGCTCATTCTCCCAAAATGTCGACTCTGTGATTCTCCTATTTTCGCGTCGTGGCCTGATTGCTTCTTGGAAATCTAGAAAGTGGATGTACCGACGAATCGCTTTCTAAAAGGCATGCGGGCATGTTTTGGTAATACGTAATAGTGTGTACAGTTTATAGAGTCGCAGTCTTCGAGCGGTCTTAGAAGAGAAGAAAAAACCCACCACAGTGTTCCACCACGGGGCAGTTCGGCGACGGGGGGGGGCATTTTGCACATTTGCTACTTCCCGTAGACATGTCGACCCATCTAGAGAGCCACTTCGTGAGCTCACAAGAGTGACAGGTTCTCCCATGGTGGCTAGACGAGCCTATTCCAAATTCGCAAGAGTTCCCAGGTTCCACCGGACTGAAACTAGTGAAGCAGCGAAAGTGCAACAGGCTCTCCTTGTGCCGAGCTGCGTCTCTAGCACTGCTAAATCTATTGCTAACCTATCTCAACTGGTAAAGCAAGGCAGCCGAAGGCGGGCTCATTCCGCCCTTCCTGACGGCGCCGACTGATTGCGACACTATCAGCTATATGAACATCGATCTGTTTACTGTCTTCGTTTGACGTAAAGAGTTTGCTTTCCGTTTATTTATTATTTATTCAGCTTCCATATACACGATTTGAATGCGTTTTGACCGCACTACTACTTTGTTAGCTTAGACTCTTCGTTATCGCAATTCTTTCCAGCGGTAATTCACAATGAGGATCGTAACCTCGTTGACGCTGCTAACTTTGGTGACGGTCGCCTATGGAATCCGCTTTAATGTACCAGCAAATAACAAAAAGTGTATGAAGGAGGAGATTCACAAGAACATTGTTGTAACTGGTGAATACGAGTTCAGTGAAGCAATCGGCTACACTGGAAGTGTCCACGTAAGTTTTATTGATTTGTTTCTCTTAATTCTTACAGTTTCCATTCTTATATCTTAGTGTGCACTTTTCCTGCGCGATTGGGAAGGGCTGCGAAAATAAGTATTCCCGGGACCGTTCAACTATTACCACCCCAAGAACTCAAAAAATTTTTTTGGTGAAATTTTGCCCATAAGGGTAATGCGATGTCCTAGTCACGAGTATGACATTCGTTTCGACGCTGGCGCCATTTGGCGCCCTAC